GCCTCAGGTCACAATTTAGCTATTTAAGGTGAGCTCTCCCTGATTTCGCTCTCTTGGCTCCTCTTCTCTTTGCCCCTTCCTACCTTATTGGTTCCATGCTCGGCTGGTTCGAATCAGTCCATGTGTGTTGCTGGTCAACACACAGTTCTCCCCCACCTCCATTTGTCTATTTTTCATTGCATGATCTGCTCATCTTGTCGAACAGGTAACATATTACCCACCAACAGGGCTATTTTTGGGCAGGAACGCACAGGAACGGAGTTTCGGCTGGCTCCTGAGTTGGCCACGCCCAGCAGGAACTCATTAGCATAATAGGCCACACCCAACAGCAGACACTCATTAGGATTGGCTACATTAGGGGTGTGTGGCCTAACATGCAAAGATGTTCCTGCTACAAAAAAAAGCCCAGGGTTTTGACAACAAAGTAAACAGAATAAGAAGCAAAAGGAGGGTGTGGTTGGATGACCACACTTCTGGTAACATGTGGAGTGTGGCCTAATATGCTAATGAGCTGTGCTGTCAGGGGTGTGGCCTAATATGCTAATAGATTCCTGCTATTGGGTGTGGCCTATTATGCTAATGAGTTCCTGCTGGGTTTTTCTACAAAAAAAGCCCTGCCCACCAATGATATTTCTGCTCATACAAATATCACTATCCTTTCAATTCTGTATTCTTAGTCCTGCATTGTGAGTGTGGATGCATTATTATTGGTATTTATATGCTTGAGAGTCATTAAGTAACAAAATCAATTATTTTAGCAACCTGGTCTCCTCGTCTATTCACGGGCTCTGGGAATCCTGACTCTGGTATGCACGGGCTATGAACCTATATTTTATGCCTATTATTTGGTGTAGTGGTTAAGTGCGCAGACTCTAATCTGGGAGGACCAGGTTTGATTCCCCATTCCTCCACTTGCACCTGGCTGGATGACCTTGGGCAAGCCTTAGTTCTGATAAGAGCTGTCTTTGAAAAAGCGGTTTCTGTCAAGAGCTCTCTCAGCCCCACCTACGTCACAGGGTGTCTGTTGTGGGGAGGGGAAGGGAAAGGAGATTGTAAGCCGCTCTGAGACACCTTTGGGTAGTGAAGGGCGGGGTATAAATCCAATCTCTTCTTCTTTTACCTCACAGGGTGTCTGTTGTGGGGAAGGGAGTTTGTAAGCCGCTCTGAGACACCTTTGGGTAGTGAAGGGCGGGGTATAAATCCAATCTCTTCTTCTTCTTCTATTGCCATTTAATACTCATAATTCCCCCATCTTATTAATAAAACAGGGTAATTTGGTTAACACACTGGAGTGGAAGCTCTTTGGGACAGTTGTCCTAATAACTGTCACAAAGAGAAATAAGAATCAGACAGATAAGATCAGTAAAGAAGGTGTTCCTGATTACCCTGTGCGTTTGTAAAGTGCTGTCAAGTCACAGCCAACTTACAGCGACCCCGGCAAGGGGCCTTCAAGGCAAGTGAGAAGCAGAGGTGTTTTGTCAGTGCTTTCCTCTGCAGAGTCTTCCTTGGTGGTCTCCCTTCCAAAGCACCAACCCTGCTTAGCTCCTGAGATCTGATGAGTTCAGGGTACATCAGGCCACCTTCCCTTCCTGATTATCTTAGCAACACATTTTGATAAATGTTAATGAATTATGTGAAGGGCAGCCTCGGTGTCTTTCACACCAGCCAAATGCCAGCAGACCTGTCAGTCCTTAGCTTGGCCAGAGAGTAGGATGGGACTGCACGTTAAGTCAATTATGTGGATTGATTTTTAACCTTGGCAGTTACAAAGGTTGCATGCAAATGGCAAGTGCAGAATGTCTTTGCTAAAAAGAAGAGAGAGATTGGATTTATACCCTGCCCTTCACTACCCAAGGAGTGAGGAATCAAACCCAGTTCTCCCAGATTAGAGTCTGCGCACTTAACCACTACACCAAAATGGGGTCTGCTCAAATACGTCCACACAACATCTAAAGCAGGAGTCCCCAACTCCTGCTTCAGTGAGCTGTGGGTATCACAATAAAATAGCCACCACAGGTGGTGGGTTCAATGACAAACTAGCTGTGGTGGGCCAGGGTCCAATTATAAAGCATTTCCACAAAGTGCTTTTAAAAAAAATGTACTTCATTTATAGTCAAGTCAAGTAATTTATTGTATTTAGCCATTGGCCGTTACAAAATACAGCAGAGCATTTATAGTCCACCTGTCTTACCTGCATGGCCAAGATGAAAAGCCTACCATGAAAAAAGCCATTTACAAGTGTCCAACAAAATAATATTGGGAGGCTGCAAGCCAAGTGTCCTTGTCTGATGGAGGCAGCAGTTTCTGCAGACCTAAAGTTGGTTAATCTCCTGAAGCACCTCCTCCTGCTTCAGTCAGGTGGAGGAAAGCCAAGACTGGTTCTTTGCTTTGGGTGAAGAAAGTGGATGCCAGGAACTGCATGAGGAGCCATTGTGGTGCTCATGGGCGCTGTGGATCACTTCTCTAAAGCTAAAGGAAGAATGCTTTTTCTTTGAAGGAAGAACATGCCATTGAGTCACAACTGACTCCTAGCAACCCTCTTCCATGGGGCATTCCAGGTGTAATGAGTAGAGATGGTTTGCCATTGCCTTCATCTGCAGAGCAACCCCAGTCTCCCTTTTTGGGAGGTCAACCTTCACTTAGGGTACGAGGCCAAAGGCCCATCCAGTCCAACACTCTGTGTCACACAGTGGCCAGAAATACCAGTGCCATCAGGAGGTCCAGCAGTGGGGCCAGGACATTAGAAGCCCTCCCACTGTTGACCCCCCCCCCAAGCACCAAGAAGACAGAGCATCACTTGCCCCAGAGCCCCTAGCTATACCTTGTGGCTAATAGCCACTGATGGACCTCTGCTCCATATGCTTATCTAATTCCCTTTTGAAGCCGTCCATGCTTGTAGCACCCACCACTTCCTGTGGCAGTGAATTCCATGTGTTAATCACTCTTTGGGTGAAGAAGTACTTCCTTTTATCCGTTCTAACCCGACCGCTCTGCAGTTTCATGGAGTGCCCACGAGTTCTTGTATTGTGAGAAAGGGAGAAAAGTACCTCTTTCTTTACCTGCTCTTTCCCATGCATAATCTTATAAACCTCGATCATGTCACCCCTCAGTCGTCTTTTCTCCAAGCTAAAGAGCCCTAAGCGCTTTAACCTTTCCTCATAGGGAAAGTGTTCCAACCCTTTTATCATTCGAGTTGCCCTTTTCTGCACTTTTTCCAAAGCTATAATATCCTTTTTAAGGTGTGGTGCCCAGAACTGCACACAGTATTCCAAATGAGGTCTCACCATTGATTTATATAGGGGCATTATTATATTGGCTGATCTGTTTTCAATACCCTTCCTAATAATCCCCAGCATAACATTGGCTTTTTTTATTGCAGTCACACACTGTCTCGACATTTTCAGTGAGTTATCTACTACAACTCCAAGATCTCTCTCTTGCTCAGTCTCTGCCAGTTCAGACCCCATCAATGTGTATTTATATTTAGGATTTTTGGCTCCAATGTGCATCACCTTGCACTTGGCCACATTGAACCCCATTTGCCATGTTGACGCCCACTCGCCCATCCTTGACAGATCCCCTTGGAGTGCCTCACAATCCTCACTGGTTTTCACCACCCTGAACAACTTTGGACAAACTAGCTGTGGTGGGCCAGGGTCCAATTATAAAGCATTTCCACAAAGTGCTTTTTAAAAAAATGTACATTTATAGTCAAGTAATTTATTGTATTTAGCCATTGGCCGTTACAAAATACAGCAGAGCATTTATAGTCCACCTGTCTTACCTGCATGGCCAAGATGAAAAGCCTACCATGAAAAAAGCCATTTACAAGTGTCCAACAAAATAATATTGGGAGGCTGCAAGCCAAGTGTCCTTGTCTGATGGAGGCAGCAGTTTCTGCAGACCTAAAGTTGGTTAATCTCATGAAGCACCTCCTCCTGCTTCAGTCAGGTGGAGGAAAGCCAAGACTGGTTCTTTGCTTTGGGTGAAGAAAGTGGATGCCAGGAACTGCATGAGGAGCCATTGTGGTGCTCATGGGCGCTGTGGATCACTTCTCTAAAGCTAAAGGAAGAATGCTTTTTCTTTGAAGGAAGAACATGCCATTGAGTCACAACTGACTCCTAGCAACCCTCTTCCATGGGGCATTCCAGGTGTAATGAGTAGAGATGGTTTGCCATTGCCTTCATCTGCAGAGCAACCCCAGTCTCCCTTTTTGGGAGGTCAACCTTCACTTAGGGTATGTAGATCTCCCAGAATTTTAGCTTGATCTCCAGACAACAGAGATCTGTGACCCTGGAGAAATAGGGTGCTTTGGAGGACGGATTCTCTATGGCATCCCCTACTGAACTCCCTCCTTTCCCTAAACCCCGTCCTTCCCACGCTTCACTGCTAAATCTCCAGGACTTTTCTAAGTTCTAACTCAGAGCAGAAAACCCAAGCAATCACCCATACAATTGTATGCAGATTTTCTGAATTAATTAATCGACTGAACTCTGTGCAACTGGTCGATTTGGACTCCTTTAACTGTAAGACTACCTTAGCAGTACAAGCTAATGTTCAGAACATTAATTTATCGATATAATAAATCTTTAATATAGTATGTTTTATTATTATAACGCATTGTTTATCATATTCAACGCAAACAATATTGTGTGTGTTTGCGTATACACACACAACTAGTAGTGAACATATACTAAAATTCACTTTGTATTTAAATAAGTCTGAATAAAACCATTCCTGCCTCTGCTTATTAGAGGGCGCGGCCTCTCTGATGACGCGCGGTCTCCCAGATGCGCATGCGTCCGCGCCGCTTTTCGAGGCTGATCAACGAAAGAATCCGAGCGCTGGTCCAACGCACATGCGTAGTCTCGAGGGCGAACGGAGAAGGGCAATGCGCCTGCTCGATGGAGGTCTCGCAAACCTGTCTTCACACCCCGCCCTTTACACATGCTCAGTGTTGAACCGAATGCTCCTAAACGGGCGCGCGTAGACCGGGCAGACGGATTTTGCCCGTCGCTTGCGCGAGGCATTGTGGGAGTGATTAAGGAAGTAAAATGGCGGACCTGGCCAACGAAGGTAGGCGGCCCGGCTGAGGCGGGAGCGGCAGAGAGAGAAAGAGGGGGCGGGGCCTTCCCGGGCAAGGCGGGGGGAAGACCTCTCCTCAGCAGAGAGAGGGGACGAGAGGGCGCCCGAGCATAGGCAGAGGGTGGACAGCGTCCCCGAGGCAGGCTGCAGCCGTGGCCCGAGATGCGTCTCCGCCCGCGGTAATGCGCGAGGAGAGTCTCTGAGCATGTGCAGAGGGTCCGGCCGGTGGGCCCTGGGGCAACGGGGCCGGCTTCAGTCCCGGCTGAGAGGAGCGCCGCCGCTGAGGCAGGCTTCAGTCCTCCCGCGGAGACACGCACAGGCTTCTCCTCGGTTCTGTTCGCTTGACCCGGGAGGAAAGCAGACCCTCGTGCGGAGGCCTGGCTCTGGGGAAGCATCCTCCCGGTTTCCCCTCTCGGCCATTCTCTCCGTTTCTGAGCTTTATCACGGGTTTCCTAGGCTCCCTTGTTTATAATTTATCGCTTGAGTGGTGAACGATGAGGCTGCCTGGCTGGGGGCGCGGGGGTGGTGGTGGTGTCAGCATCACCAAGGCCAGCTCCCACACTGGCCGCCACCGCTCGTTCTCGGCCTGCACGTCAGTGTCTTTCTCCCAAGTTTTCTAGGCCGTGCTGTGATATCAGTGATGAGAAATGATAGACTTCCGAGCATGTGCAAAGTGTCTCTCTCACCTCAGGTGCAAGAGGAGGAGGGGTTCCAGGCATGTCTCATGTGTTCTTTCTCCCTTCAGTTGATTCCTAAGCAGTAGCTAAGAACTTGTGCCTCAGTAGTAAGAGGAGTGCCCTCGAATGTGTGCAGAGGCAGTCTCTGTGTCCCAAAGCTCAGAGGAATGGCATGCGGCTGCAAGGCCCCTTGGCTGTCTGTATGAAGGTTTTTGCAGGCTTTGAAGTCGGGTGTATTTTTCAGAATTCCAGCCCCATTATATTTATGTGGGTCACAGAAAACTCTGAGAATATAAATAGGAAAACAGATGAGCTGCTTTTGGCCTAGAAAGCTGTGCCACTGCAAGGGGCTGGGGCAGCTTATGTTCCAAAATACTATCCACCCACTGAACATGCATAAAGCTGCGTTATACTGAACCAAAACATTGCCCCCAAAAGGTCAGTATTGTCTATTCAGACTGTCGGCTGCTTTCAGGGGTCTCAAGACAAGGTCTTTCATATCACCTCCTGCTTGATCCTTTTAACTGGAGATGCCCGGGATTAACCCTGGGTCCTTCTGTCTGCCAAGCAGATGCTCTACCCCTGCTTGGGAACATGCTGGCAAGTGCCCAGGGTCTGATATTTGTCATTCATTGCTACCTTGATTCTCAGTCCCGGAAAGGCTGCCTTGTAAAGCATGTGTTTTCCAGAGATGCTCCTAGTTCTGTCATCATCTCCCCCTACTAGTCTTTTGTCCCTTGCTAAGCATCTGAAGGATGCTGCTCTGTTTTCTCAGAAAGCCCACACCTCCTCTGAAAGGGTTTGTTTCTGGAATAAGCTCTTCACGTCCTGTTGTTGGGTGACCGCGCTCATGTGATGCTTGGGCTCTGTGGCTGGCCTATGCAAACTCCCCCCCCCCCCAAGCCCCTGATGCCTGTCACGTGAGAGTTGCAATTCTGACGTGATGAATCATCCCCTGGAGAACTATGACTGGGAGCTGCTGATTAACCTTGGTTTGCCACCCTCCCCCATCCCATTGAGAAGCTTTTCCATGGTTAATCCTCTCTCACTGCATTTGACTCTCAGCTTTTGTATTGGCATGTCTTGTGTGCTAGATTGCTCAGAGGTATGTCTGTCCGTGTGTGTGTGAAGTGCTATCAAGTCACTTCTGACTTAAGGCGATCCATGAATTAATGATCTCCAAAATGTCCTATCATTAACAGCCTTGCTCAGGCCTTGCAAACTGGGAGGGGGGCATGAGAAACTTCTGGAGGATATCTGCTCAGCTGGATGCTCCTCAGGTTCTTGTGATTGTCCAATGTACTGTGATTCTTTTCAGGACTTTAGAACTCAGTTGGGATCATATTTCCCCTAGGAATTCTTCCTAAAGGGCTCTGGTCAGATGCAAAGAGGCACAGTTCACCAACTGCAGCAAATTGCATTGGCTGAGCAGCAGAACTTCCTGGTTGGCTCACAGTCTAATGCATTCCAAGAGGTAACCACGGAAGTTTGCTGGAGATATTTTAAATGTTTCTGAGCTGACAGGGCAATATGCAGCGGCCAGAATGTGCTGGTCTTGTTTACAAACATGCAGCTGTAAAATGGTTGGGTTGAGCCTTGAATACTTTCTTCATTGTCCTTAAACCTGAACACCTTTTGGGTTAGAACGAAGTTTGAGTCCAGTAGCACTTTTAAGACGAACAGAGTTTAATTCATGTGTGCACGAAAGCTTATAACCAGTGTTCCCTCTAAGCTGAGTTAGTGTGAGCTAGCTCACAGTTTTTTAGTCTCTGGCCCACACATTTTTGTCTTAGCTCAGGAAGGATGGCTCCGGAGCAAACTAATTTGTGCAGCAGCCAAATCGCTTGCTCACAACTTTAATGCCAGTAGCTCCCAAAGTAAAATTTTTGCTCACAAGACTCCACGGCTTAGAGGGAGCATTGCGTTATAACCAGAATTAAACTTTGTTCTTAAAGATGCCACTGGACTCAAACTTTGTTCTGTTGCTTCAGACCAACACGACTACCCACCTGGATACCTTTTGGTTTAAACAAGGACAGGCTGTGGTCCCTGCACACACCTCCTGCACTGCCCCCCAGGGAAACACAGGGCTGGATCGTGCAGATCAGTCCCACTAGTGACAGGGCTTGTGCTACTTGAACAGATCCACAGGATCTAGCCTTTTGTCTACTATTAACATACTTGCCTGTTTCTAGTGAAATTGAAATAGTTTAACTCCTGGGACATTTGGTGAGAAATTTGTTGCCAATGCAGAGGCAGTTTGCAGAGGAAAAGCCAGGTGTGCACTCCCTGTGTATCAGGAGGAAAAGCTCTGTTTCTGTTTATATCTTTGCAGAAAAGCCAGCCATTGCACCTCCTGTCTTTGTGTTCCAGAAGGATAAAGCACAAAAGGTAAGAAAGCTTTATGCCTTACCGGTAGCCATAACTAAAAGTTGTTGTCCATTTTTACTTGGAAATTCAGGCTTGAACAGGCTAAACCTGTGACTTTTTATTTACTTTGTGCATAGCCCGCCTTTCTTGCTGAGACTCAAGGCAGACCTTTGTGCTTCTGCCTTCCAGGGTGCCTTTCCCACATTGACTCACCTGCGACGGAATCCTTGTGCAGGAGGCTGGAGAATGTATGAAAGCAGGCACTTAGCACAGGTGCTGTTCAGGCTCACAATCGCCTCTCCCCTACCTTCACGTGCGGGCAGTGTTCTGTAGAATGCACACAGTTCTCCATTTGGCTGCGTTTTGCCAAGGACATTCAGTAGCGCTTGTGCTGGCTGCCTTTCAGGGAAGCTTGCCTGCCGTGAATGATCTGCTCATCAAGGGGTCCCTCCAAGGAATCTGGGTGCCAACTGGGATAGAGCCAGGGTGGAGAAGGGCTGTTTGCTGGCTAGAGGGTCATGAGAAATAACATGCAGTTAAAAAGAGAGTGATTCAGCTATAATGCCAAGCTGTGACTGAACTCCCACACTTCTCAGGTGTTGACAAATCAGTTCATCATTTTGCCTGAACTTGCAAACAATGGTTGGCAAGTCTCTTTGCACCAGACCTGCAAAACTGTGGCTCCTTTCTGTAACACCAGACAGCTCAGCCAAGCCACTGATGGCAAAAGCAACCCTGGTGAAGCGGTTAGCGGCTTCACATATTTTAGTTTATCTGTTGTGGCTACTTTTGACAGCAGCATTGCAGCTGCTGGAGTTTGGTAGTATTTACTGTCCTGAAACATATTGCATTGGTGACTTCAGAGGTAACAAGTTGGCAGATGAAGGGGGGGGGGTGTCAATTGGGATTTTTTTAATCCCACTCAAACTTTGAAGCAGTGTGTTAGGAATATCAGCCAGCCGGACCATGGGCTTTAGTTAGCAGGCTGCTGTTCCTGAAGAACAGTTAAGCAGCCATTAAGAGTAGTAGAATGGGGGAGAGGGCCCCATCTGGTGGTGGTGCTGAGAACAGGAAGAATCAGAGATCCAACTCTTCAGTCCTCAAATCGGACAGAGACCCTCAAACAGATCTTTTCACTGTCATTAATCCACTTTTTTAAAAATGGATGTCATCTGTCACTGGTACTTCCTTGATCTACTCCTGTGAAAAGGCATGGTTGTATCAGTCAAATGTCTTATGGGAAGGGGAGATGGCTTCTGTATCATGGGCGTATCAGTCAAATGTCTTATGGGAAGGGGAGATGGCTTCTGAATCCACCCCAGAGAGGGAGGAGAAGGAGCTGTGTCTGTCTCTTAAAGCTGCCTGCAGTTCAGTTTTGTTTATAGCAGTCTGTTCTCTTGTAACCCTGTTCCCAGTTGCCATTGAAGTCATCATCTGATTTTACAGGTAGCTTGAATAAATTTCTACTAGAATGCTTCTGTATCTGTGTAGCAGTTGACTTCCCAGGATCAAGTGTCCAGATCACGCGGAGTGATGGTACCACTTTGCTCTGTTCTGGTTAGACCTCACCTAGAGTATTGTGTTAAGTTTTGGGCACCACAATTTAAGAAGGATGTAGACAAGCTGGAACGTGTCCAGAGGAGGGCAACGAAGATGGTGAGGGGTCTGGAGACCAAGTCCTATGAGGAAAGGTTGAAGGAGCTGGGTATATTCAGCCTGGAAAGGAGACGACTGAGAGGTGATATGATAACCATCTTCAAGTACTTGAAGGGCTGTCATCTAGGGGATGGTGCAGAGTTGTTTTCTGTTGCCCCAGAAGGTCAGACCAGAACCAACGGGTTGAAATTAAATCAGAAGGGTTTTCAGCTAAACATTGGGAAGAACTTCCCGACAGTTAGAGTGGTTCCTCAGTGGAAGAGGCTTCCTCCGGAGGTGGTGGGCTTTCCTTCTTTGGAGGTGTTTAAGCAGAGGCTAGATCGCCACCTGACAGCAATGCTGATTGTGTGAACTTAGGCAGATCATGAGAGGGAGGGCAGGAAGGGTTACCTCAGTGCTTAGTTCTTGTGGTCCTTTCTTACATGCCCAGAGAAATGCTGATTGCCACTTTGGGGTCAGGAAGCAATTTTTCTCCAGACCAGTTTGGCCAGGGATCTTGGAGGTTTTTTGTCATCTTCTGGGTGTGGAACGGTGGTCACTGTGGGTGTGTGTGTGTGGGGTATTTGTGAATTTCCTGGATTGTGCAGGGGGTTGGACTAGATGACCCTGGAGGTCCCTTCCAACTCTATGATTCTGTGAATAGTTCTAAGGCTGTGGGGTTCAGCCTTTGGAGAAAACTTACTCCCCATTTGCTTTGGTGCCTTAGTGTGAGCTCAGCATTAGCAAGAGAGGTAAAGAAACAGTGGATGGTTTAGCCGTAACTGGATTTACCTTGAGGGGCATTTGAAGCTTTGCTTTCTCCTGTGACTTGGAATTCATGGTAAAGGATGGTGGTTATCTGCAGGCTAGCAAGAAAACTCCAGACGCATTGGTAGTGGTCCGTAATAGTAGCCTAGTCTACGCTGTGTGAAACCAGGCACTGATTCTTGTTGTGTCATAATAGAAGCCTTATTGGCCAAGTCCAAGGTGGGCCTGTCTGTGCCAGCATTCTGTTTCTCACAATGGATCCACCAGATGCCTCCAAGAAGCCTGTGAGCAGGGTGTGAAGGCAGCGTCTGCTGGTGGAGAATAAGAGTTTGAGGCCCGCCGTGTTTGTAATTTGGGGGTGGTCAGTGAGCTGTGTGCATGTCCATTGCAGAGCCAAAACAATGTATGGCCACTGCCTGGGGGTGGGGAGAAGGACTGCAAAGCCCTGTGTCAGCTGACCATGTGCGTGTTGACTCAGAAGTAAGTCCTGCGGCATTCAGTGGGACTTCATTGCAAGGAACCGTGCCTGGGACTACAGCTTCTGTGCAGCTTGCGACTGATACTGCATGTCTAAGGGGCACGTTGGGGCTGTTGCACAGACCTTTTCTTCGAGGGCTTTGGGAATCTGTGCTCTTGAGAACCCCAACATCCTTTGGGGGGGTGTCGTACTTTGGGGGCAACGCATCTGCTTTGCATTCAGACGGTCCCAGCTTTGGGCCCTGTCAAGCAAAAGGCCCTTTTCTGCCTGAGAATCCTGGTGGGTGGTGATGGTGCTGCTCTGATTGGCTTCATAGTAGTGGAAAGGGGGTTAGTACTTGCTTTACTGGGCTCTCACAGGTGTGAGCAATACTGGCTTGCATTAAATGTTGAGAACTGTTAACTTATGAATAGTGATTTGCCAGGTAATGGAACACATTTATAATGTAGGTAAGAAAAGGGTAAATGTTTTGTGGCTAAAAATAAATGCCAACCTGATGGGAAGCTGCAGGGATCTTGGAGCAATGGAAGCCTGTCCTGTTAAATCAGAAGTTTCTTTCAACAGTTTTCTTCTGCATTCTGTTAGAAGTGGGAGCAATATAAGGAAATGAGGTGAGCACCTCGTTTCACAGAGGTGGGGAGTTTCATTGTGCAGGTGACTTGGGTGGTGCTGGGCTTGTTTGGGCAAAACGTCAAGCCGGTATGGTGCTGTGTTTATGGTGTTGGCCTAGGATTTGGGAGACCCAGGTTCAGATCCCCCTTCCTGCCACTGCCATTGAAGCTTGCTGTGTGACTGTCGGCCAGTCACACATGCTCCTCCTAACCTACCTCACAGGGTTGTTCTCAGGAAAAATAGAAGAGGGGAGAATGAGGCACATCAACCTGACCTCCTTGGAACAAAGGGCGGGGTAAAAATGTACTAAATAGTCCCACACAGCTGAGATTTAAAGTTCTCTTTCAAAAGACCTGGAGGAGTTTGTGGCAGGGAACTGGGGGAACATCCTCCACTGATGGTGATTCTGGGTCAGAGGAAACCTTTTTTTAAAAAAAGGCTGCTACTCTCTGGGAATCCAAAAGGATCTTTCTTCTGTGTTAATTGGAACGGATAGGTCCCTTGTGAGGGAGAAAGCAGAAGCAAAGACAGATGTAGCAGTCCTTAGACGGGCGAAACTGTAGATTGCTTTCAGTTGATGACTGACGGGGAAAAGAGTCAGTAGAAGCCAGCGCTGGGTAGTGTTGCATGGTGCCTTAATGTGATAAACTAGAATGATAAAAGGGTTGGAACACTTTCCCTATGAAGAAAGGTTAAAGCACTTGGGGCGCTTTAGCTTGGAGAAATGACGGCTGAGGGGAGACATGATTGAGGTTTATAAGATTATGCATGGGATAGAGCAGGTAGAGAAAGAGGTACTTTTCTCCCTTTCTCACGATACAAGAATCTGTGGGCACTCCATGAAATTGCTGAGTGGTTGGGTTAGAACAGATAAAAGGAAGTGCTTCTTCACCCAAAGAGTGATTAACACATGGAATTCACTGCCACAGGAGGTGGTGGTGGCTACAAGCATGGATGGCTTCATAGAGGGAATTAGATAAGCATATGGAGCAGAAGTCCATCAGTGGCTATTAGCCACAAGGTATAGATAGGAACTCAGGGGCAAGTGATGCTCTGTATTCTTGGTGCTTTGGGGGGGGGGCAACAGCGGGAGGGCTTCTAGTGTCCTGGCCCCACTGCTGGACCTCCTGATGGCACCTGGTATTTTTGGCCGCTGTGTGACAGAGTGTTGCACTGGATGGGCCATGGGCCTGATCCAACTTTGGCTTCTCTTATGTTCTTATGTGGTTGGAGCACACAAAGATTGTGGTGTGTTCTTTTTCCAGTTGTGGACGCCTGAATTTCCTAAAACCGGGCAGGTACCTGCTGTGGCCCATTGGGAATAAAAACATCTGCAAGTTGCAGCGGGGTGATGCTTTTCCAAGTGTCTCAAAGCCAACGTTGAGGTTTGTCAGCGGGCTGGATGCCCTGGATCTGTTCAAAGGCATCTTCTTTGCACCAGGGGAGAACATTGCTACTAGTGGGATGGACCTGGGAGATCCATCCCCAAGTTATCCAGTGTGCAGAATGCAGTGCCAGGCAAAGTTGTGAGATTGCCCAAGGGAGTGGCAGCCAAGATTAGGAGGAAGGGAAGCGTCTGTGCGCGCGCACACCCACCCATCCATGTGCTTTTGGGGACTGAAGGGCCCTTGTCTTCTTTGCTCCCAGTTCCTTGCAGAGCAAAAAGGGCTGTCGGATTCAGGCGAGGACCCCGTGGGAGAAGTTGAGTCTCCTCACCGGGGGATGGGTCTCCCCAAGTCACCAGGGGAGCGCAACTTTGAGGCGCCTGCCCCCACTGGTGCTTGTGCCAGTGCTGAAGCCCGCCTTGGTCCTATTTCTCAAGAACTGGCAGGGGTAAGTCCAAACCTACCACATTCTTCTGGTGAGGCACTGGGTCTTGTTCTTTTCTTCCCTTCTGGTTTGCTTCTTTTCCCTGAGATGTCTGCAGTCTACCGGTGAGCCGTGAGGCTGGCGGCCTCAGTGGTTCCCCGGAAGCGTGGAGGCCGATGGCCAGTCTTTCTTGGCAATTAAAATAAACCGCCTTGTTACGAAGGGGCTTGTTCAGCAAGGAAGCTGCGGAAGGGTGACGCTTGCCCCTTCTGTGAAAGCAGCAGTGTGCCTCCCCCCCCTCCCAGCAAAATGGAAAAATTGGAATTACATTCTGTATAGTTTTTTCTTCTTGGTTTCTTTAAGCCTGAAGAGCAAAGAGCAGCCTGAAAGGCTTCTGGATGGTGGCTCATGCTTAGTCTTTAGCCAGGAAATGGTTTCTGGAGTGGGTGGGGTGCTTGCTGAGACCCCTTCTCTTTTGTGGAAAGAGCAAGTGTCTGAGTAGGCTCTAGAAAGCTCAGGCAGCAAGAGGGCCTGCTTGTCTTCTTTGTCAGAGCAGGTATAACAGAATCTCTCTGTTGCAGCCAGATACAAACATGTGCATCTGCTGCACATTGGATCTGTGCAGGAATTGGTGTGGTCCGGGTGTCAGACTCGAACTGGGAAGATCTTGGTTTCCAGTCTGTACTCATGTTGCTTGTTGGATGACCTTGGACTCGTTCCTCTCAGCCTAACCTGCCTCACAGGGTTGTTGTGAGGAATAAAACAAAGGAGCGGAGGATACTGTATGCCTCCTTGAGCACCATGGAGAGAGGGTGGGATAAAAATATGGTAGGCAGAACTCTTGGAGATGTACTGGCTGGGGAAGCGTGAGGAGCTGAGCAGCCTCAAGTTTTGGCAGGTGGCTCTCCTGTGAGGCCCAGTGGGGGAAAGCGCCACATGTTGAGTGGTGTGCAGAGGCCCCCGTGGTGTTGGCACAGAGGGGGAGGGTCTGCTGGGTGCAGTCGCTGCTTCACCTACAAGTGGAACTGATGCATTGATCGGTTAGCATTCAAAAGGAAGATCATATTTTTCTGCCACTTAACATTTCCATGTAAGAAATGCTGCAATGGCAAAGGGGAGGGGGTTACGTAGAAATGTATCATAGAGAGAGTCGGGAGTTTGTCTGGTCAGATCACGTTCAAGGTTTTTTAAAAGCATGAACAAGATACTTCTTACTTTCGTTGATTACATATCAATTAAAAATGTTGTGAAATAAAGTACCTTTTTAAAAAGTAGTGAATTCTTAGAAGTTTTTGTAAGGTGGTTGTGTGACCCCGTCGGTGCTTCCGGCCACTTCGTCTTTGGAGAAGCCTCTGCCGGTCTGGGAGGCAACCCTAGGGCGGCCCTCTGGCCTTGTGTAGAACTGGCCCTCTGGCTCCCGCCCTTGCCGGCATTGCTTTCTCGGCTTTGTGGAACATCTGGCCAGGGTGCCCTGCCTTACCTGCAAGATCCTTACTGCTGCTTCTGAACTGTTTGCAGTGGGCACACTCACAGCCCTCGTGGTTAGTGCTGAGGTGGGGCAGAGAATTCCACCAGGTGTCTTCTTGCATCCCATTTGACGTGCCTCCATGAGCCAGCAGCACACCTCTCTAGGCAGAAGATTACCCAAGGCCCTTCTGTGTACAGGGGAAACCTACGAGGAAAAATTGCATTGTGAGATGCAGCTGCCAATCAATGCTCCCTCTAAGATGTGGAGTCTTGTGAGCAAAAATTCTGCTTTGTGAGCTACTGGTATTAGAGTTGTGAGCAAGCGCTTTGGCTACTGCATAAATTAGTCTGCTCTGGAGCCACCCTTCCTGAGCTAAGACAAAAACGTGTGAGCCGGAGGCTAAAAAACTGTGAGCTAGCTCACACTAACTCACGTTAGAGGGAACATTGCTGCCACGTGTCCTTGTTAGTCAAGGCTTGATGGGGGAGGGGTGCTCAGGGGTGTTTCTTATTCAGGCCCCTCCACTCCCTTGCCCGGACCTGGATTGCCCAGGCTAGCCTGATCTCATCCGATCTCAGAAGCAAAGCAGAGTCAGCCCTGATTACTATCTGGATGGGAACCAGCAAGGTAGTCCAGGGTCGCTGTGCAAAGGCAGGCAATGGCATCTCTGTTCATCTCTTGCCTTGAAGACCCTGTGGGGTCGCCATAAGTTGGCTGCGACTTGACGGCACTTCATTGCCACCTTCTCCTCCCCCAGAATACTTCTGCTCAAGTGCTCTTGGATAACAGTGCAGGATAGGGTCACATTGGCACATTGTTGAAGGGAGCTTTGACTCTTGAAAGCCGATAGCCTGAAAATCATGTTGGTCTCTTAAGGTGCTGCCGGACTCGAATCTGGCCGTGTGGGATCGGATCACAGCCTGAGAGCTGCCACTGGCCGAAAGTCAAGAATTGGATGTTCGGCCTGGCTTTGGCAGAAAGCCAACTTCTGTTGCCCTTATCCAGAATTAAAATATTTTGCAATCTAATCAGAGCAAGTAAAGTGTTGTTTGGGAGGAAGTCTCTTGCCGTCGGTCCAGCAGGATCCTTTAAAAGGAAGTTTGAACTTGTTTGAGCGGTTGGGTCTGGGCCTCCATCATTGTTGGTGGGTTGTGTGGCATGGCTGGAAAGGACGCGATTCTCTCCTCCTCGCAAAGGAGTCTGCAAAGCTACCGGTCCATGCAAACCCATGGATTGGCTTAGATAGACACCTGTGGCCGTTTTAGATGCCACACCCCTGTTTCAGTCACTTTGGGGCAGATTCCCAGTCTCAGAAGGAAGACTTGCCAACACCCGCCTCTAGTCCTGGTCACTTGGAGGTGATTTTTACTTGCAATAGATGACCGGGCAGGGGGCTCTCAGGCTTTGGCCCCCAGTGACAAGACGTGAGCCTGTTCTGCTGGAGCAGGACCGTTGCATGGCCAGAAGGGGGGTGAGTGCCATTATTGGTCCCTTTGCCCGAAAGATCTGTCTCGTCAGGCTTGGCATCAGCGCATTTAAAGTTCTCCCCTCCTCTAGGGTGCGCATGCCAATGGGAGAGAGTTTGGGGACATGCTTTGAGAATATGCGTAGCATTTCTAAAGGGGATATTTTTAATCTCTGCAGCGTTTGGAGCAGGCTGACCCCCTCCCCATGTCCTGAGAATGTTCAGAGTTGGCTTCCATGGGGGCCGGGCCCCTTCCATCACCTCCGCTCTTTCAGGATGGGGGCGTGGCCTCTTCTGGGGTGGGAGGTGTGTGTGTGTGTGTGTGTATGTTCAGAGTTGGCTTCCATGGGGGCCGGGCCCCTTCCATCACCTCCGCTCTTTCAGGATGGGGGCGTGGCCTCTTCTGGGGTGGGAGGTGTGTGTGTGTGTGTGTGTGTGTGTATATATCTCTGCCCTCCTGTGCTGTATCTTGTATGGGGGGGATCATTTATATATTTATTTAATATACATATTAGGTGGCTTACAATTAAAAAAAGTTAATTAGAAAAACAGAAGTGAATGCAAATAAGCCCCGGGACACAAATGGCATAAAACAGACCTTTGACCAGAAGCAGGCCATTAAAAAAATACCAGGAAAGATATCCCTCCCCGTTGCAAGAGAGTGTGAAGTGTGTAGTTGGGGAAGGGGGTTAAAGAGCCTTAGGGATAAGAGGGAGGGGCTTTATTTGAGGGACTTAGACTGAGCCTTTGCAACATAGACATCATTTCAGTGGCTTCAGGCTGTATTTCGCCTTGACTTGCATGCCTAGGGTGGTGGGAAATACAGACAAACAAAAAGACAATCTTATTGCCCCTCCTGGGTTGGGGCATAGAAAAGCACAGTCCCTTCCCCAAATGGGAATGTGGCCCAGCCTGGCTCACAGTTTGCTTTGGCTGCTTTACCTCCCATGTCAGTCATTTCTGGACCTGCCTTGTCAGTCCTCTGGGGGAGAAAAGGGAGGCAGTTTTTGTCAGCTTTCTGTGTCTGGCTGTCTGGAGGCAGTTGACACATGGTAGGGGTGACCCAGCAAGCCGTTACTACATTTGAGTGGCAAAATGCCTCCTCCTGGGTCCCAGTTCCCTATGTGGTGCAGCCTATCAAGTGGGGGGGGACCTGCTCTGCCCTCAGAGGAGCCCCAGGGCCTCACAGGAGCCGGGGCCAGGAAAAGCTTGGGGAGCTGCTGTCTGTCAGGTGGACAATGCAGGACCAGGTGGACTGAGGGTCTCACTGGGTGAAGGGCAGCTTTTCTTCTCTTCTCTTGGCACCTGGCCATTCCCATGGGGCTCGGATTCTCCCTGTTGCATATCCACTCTGAAAAGGGAAGTGAAGGCTGTTCCTCTCCCGTGTATAAGGAAGCTGTGCTCTCTGCTCTTGTCCTCCTTATTGTTTTTAACATTTCTGAATAACGGACACCATCAGATGTCCTTCTCCCACACTGTGAGCCACTGAATGGCATGTCCAGAAAGTTAGCACCTTCTCCTGTTGCAGAACCACCTAATAGTTGTTGTTGCTGTTGCTGTTACAGAGGTCAGCAGATGGGTCAAGTCCGGAAGATGGAGAAGGTGAGGAGCGCGTCTGCTGCTATGAGTGCTCTGGGTCAAAGGTTTATGCACATGACATGGGGAATGGTGTAAAAAGGTGAAGGTAAAGGTTCCCTTGCTCGAAAGCCAGTCGAATCCGACTCTAGGGTTGCGGTGCTCATCTCCGTTTCAAAGACGAAGAGCCAGCGCTGTCCGAAGACGTTTTCGTGGTCATGTGGCCGGCATGACTAAACACCAAGGCACACGGAACGCTGTTACCTTCCCACCAAAGTGGTACCTATTTATCTACTTGCAATTTCTTGCTTTCGAACTGCTAGGTTGGCAGGAGCTGGAACTAGAGACAGGAGCTCACCCTGTCTTGCGGCACCCGGGTCTCGAACTGCTGAACTACCGATCTTCCACAGCCTGCAGTTCAGCGTCTTAACCACTTGAGCCACCACAGCTCCGGGGAATGGTGTGCTTATGGGCAAATGGGAACATTCCATGTGGGGTTCAAATTCAGGGCTGCAAGGTGGAGGGGACAGTCTGTGACCCAGGAGATGAGCCCTGGTGTGGCATGCAGAAGTCTCAGTTCCCTGCCGGTGAACTTGGAGAGCTGCTGGCAGGCAATATGGGGCTGTGTAGGTTAAGGGACTGCCTTGGTATAGGGCAGCTTCAGGCATTTGTGGTTTTCCCTCTGCAGGAGCGCAGCTTATACTGAGCTGATGGTCTTCAGCAGGTGGGTCAGGAGGACTCACAAGCAAATCACATCCAAATATCCCCTGCCATCGTCTTTGCTTGTTTAGGCTGTCTTCTTCTTCTTCTTTTTTTAGAAAAAGAGGAGAAGCAGGGAAAATAAAAATTGGGGAAGCCGGAGAAGGTAGATGACAAGTTACCAAGGTTGACCGAGTGCCTTTTTAACATAGGGCTAAAGGAATTTCAGCCAGGACATTTCTGCTAGGAAGGCACTGAAAGGCCCAGAAACAAGGAAGTAGGGGGAGAGTGATGGGCTGACAGATGCTCTTCTCCCCTCCTCCCCCCCAGTTTCCAGCTGCTGACTGCCCTAGCATCTTGAGATTTCCCCCAATGGATGCCCTTGGCAGAGTGGTCTTCCTGTGGTCATCAGAATCCCGACTGTGGTAATTTGAAAGCTCACCTTGAGTAACAAATGCACAGAAAGGGAATCCCCGAGCCCAGCAGGCTGTAGCAAGAGGGACCTAAAACGCAAGGAAGGGGCTGGGGCTGGGGCTGGGGGGTTGGGTAAGCGTAAGAGTGTTTGCTCTAGAGCAGGGGTGGCCAAACTGACTCCGGAGCCGCATGTGGCTCTTTCACACATATTGTGCGGCTCCCGGCAGGGCGGCTGGGGGACCTAAATATCATTAGCAAACAAATATCATTGGACAAATGAATATCATTATCAATATCTGCTTTTACTGCTTTTGTTGTTATTTTTGGCGGTCTCATTTGATGTTAGTAAAAAGCAAGTCTGCACATTTCCCAGTAAAAACGTGTAATATCTGTTCATGTCTTGCGGCTCTCAAGCATCTGACGTTTATTCTGTGTGGCTCTTAACGTCGAGCAATTTTGGCCACCCTTGCTCTAGAACCAGGAGCACAGCACACTTCATGTTTATTCTACATCGTGATGGATTTTAACTGGGAGGGGGGCTTGGGGAGCCCCTCTGGCAGGGAAGTGGGGCCTGACTGAAGAGACAGGTAGTGCCAAAGTCACTTATGGGTCTTTTCACACCCCATTTGGCTTCAAAAGCTGGCGGCTCATCTTCACACAATAATAACAATTGATTGGCACAGTAATGAGATAATGCGGAGAACAAGAAAAACTGTGAGACAGTGACGCTTAATATATGTCTTTAAAGAATCATAGAAATTACAATCATTTTAGCCCATGGCAGGTTCTACTATACATTACAGCTGGTATGATTACTGAAAATCTTCTTTGATAATTGTGAGACGTCACCAGAGGATATGAACTATTGAGAGACAGGTTTTGTCCCACATCTTTGTTCAGAAGAAGATCTTCCTTCAAAACGGCAAGACATTCCGGAGATCACCGTCAATATATATTTTTCCATGATTATGTATATTATTTTTGTTCACTTTTCTACGATTCTTTAAAGACATATATTAAGCGTCACTTTCTCACAGTTTTTCTTGTTCTCCGTATTGGCTCATCCTCACATGCCAGATCAGATGGTCCTAGTTGGGGGAGGTCTGTCCAGTTCTAGCCAGGAGCCTGCGTCCTCTCTTGGGGTTCTGGGTGCTCAGCCTTGTTTCTCTGCCTCCTTTCTCCCTGCAGAGTCAGACCGAGAGGATGGGAGTTACTGCCCCCCCATAAAGCGCGAAAGGACGTCCTCACTCACCCACTTCCCTCCTTCACAGTCGGGTAAAGGTCGAGCGTCTCGGGGGGGGGCCTTCTGTCTTGTCCTGCAGACAGTTTTCTTCTGGGTGGGAGGGAGGGAGGGTGCCTCTTGAGTGTATCTTGGGCTTGTTTCCTCAGGGGAGCCAGGGAGGTGGGCTGGGGTGAGATCGGGGAGCTTCTGGTTCGGCTGCCCACTCAGCTGTGAGGCTAGACTTGCTGGTGCCTCTCACGCACTCTCAGCCTAATTTACTTCATGGGGTTGCTGTGGGGGGGTCAAAGGAGAGCTGTGCCTAGCACCTTGGAGGAAGGGGGATAACAGTATTATTTGTAGAACAGTCTTTCCATTTCAGCAGCTGAGAGCCTGCATGTGGGGTGACTCCCAGGAGCGCCCCGAACCGGTAGAGGTGGAGTGGCACACCATGAAGAGAGGCAGCCCTGGGCAAAGAGTCCCTTTTTCCTTTTGTACCTTGGTTCTTGGGAGGGAGGGAGGGATTCCATTCCCACAGGCTACAACCTCCTGTGCAGCGGTGCTTTCATTCTTTCTTTCACTTTGACCACAGTGACAAAGAACAATGTTTTTATGCCGTCAAGCTTCTGCGAACCCTTAGCAGGGAACTCCGACTCAGAACCAGGTGAGCCTCTGGACCACCCGTGGAGAGAATGCTTTATTTAGTATAACGGAAGAACTGCCAGACTTCCTTATTAAGTCATTGCTTAATAAATGGCAGCCAACTTTGGGAAAAGGTCTGTCTTGCTGCCATCTTTTATTTGTGCCCAGTGAGCGATTTCCCCTCCTGACCCAAATACATTCCTGCACTATTCCAAGTGTAGCTTAACCAGTTTTGGTCAAATAAATCTGGAGAGCACCGTTTGGAGAGAATCCCATCAGGCTCTTTGTGGCAGTCAGTGATAGCTGAATAAGTTGATGATCTTCTCCACTTAAGGGAATTATTCACAAAGCCTTGTAACATAATACCCCAGATAAAGCACGGAGTCTTCACTGGTTGTCTGTTAGGATCGGGGGGGAAGGTTATCTGGTTAAATGCATGGATGCAGCCAAGGATCACGGGTGACTTGTTAACGGGAAAGGAACATGGCCCTCCTCCCACGAGATCTTTGAGGAATTGGCATAGCCTGCCAGCTGACCGGAGAGAGCAAACAGGCCAGCCGCGGTGCCTTTGAATAGCTGCGCACAGAGCAGACAGCAGTGGTGGCTAGGGTTGGTAGTCCTCCGAATCCCATCCTCCCTCTCCCCCTTTGCTGTCTGATTTTTTGTTTGCTATGAGTTCCAGAGGAGAAGAGCACAGGATTCCGACTCAAGCCGCCCACCCTTATCCACGGCCAGGCACCCAGTGCAGGTAAGCAGCACCCCTCCCCAAGGCAAAGGAGAAACAAGGGTGTGAAACTGTGGGCTCAGTTCCCTTCCCTGGAACCTCCTGAGGGTGATACGAAGGGCTGAGAGACTCTGTCTTGGAGTAAAGTGAGCAGCTCTTGCCCCGTCCCAGAATTGGCCTGTGGGACTGAGCCTGCTTCAGCTGCCGCAGAATGCGAAGAGCACTGGAGAAGTTGGCTTAAGGAAAAAAGGGTTTGGGGATCTGGCCTACAGAAGCACCCCAGGACTTAGAAAAGTCTCAAAGGGGGTTGAGTCCGTCCCACATAATTTGTCTTCCCATCAAGGAACCCCTGCAAGTGAGTCTCCCAGACAGAAGGCTCGCCTGGGCTGATCTGCACTGTCAGCTTAGGGCTGATCGCGAATGGGGCCGACCTGTCATGGCTCCCCTGCTGATCAGCACATTTGGGGTGGAGTGGGGGTGCTCAGAATTAGAGGCTGTTTTGTAGAGCTGCTGGTCTAAGGCATTCTGTTGCCCCTTGCAACCCCAGGAATGGGGTGGTGGCACTAGAGGCCTTCACCAGAGGATTCTCAACAACTCATCCCCCACCTCAGCCCTGCTCCACTGCGACAAGCCCCTGGGTTCTTTGAAGAAATCAACCATACTTAAATGCTGCAATACCAGCACCATTTTGACAACAAGGACTATTCAAAGGAGGTTTGAAAATGCGGAGTGTGATGAGCAATAGGAGGCACTGGCTTCATCTCCCACGTGAAGGCCCAATAAATCCTCACTTCCCTTCCCAGGTGTCCCCAGCCAGAAACCGAAAGAACAACAAAAAAGTGTGTTACGCCCGGCCGTGTTGCAGGCCCCACAGCCGAAGGCTTTCTCACAAGCAGGTCAGTAGTCGGCCAGGTCTTCGTGCAGTGTATGTTTTCTGATTATAGACCCCCCCCCCCCAAAAAAAATGGCTGTCGATAAATTAAAGTGCGGAAATAACGCAGCAGTCAGGGGAAAGGCCCTTCAAAGCACTGAGCAGCATTAGAGCTTCAAGGTAATAAGGCAGTCGGTGGCTTGGAAAGGCTGTCGAGAACAAATGCCTTTTCAAGTGACACGGCAAGGACAGCACCTGTCACCGTTCGAAAAGGCCTTGACACGAGCTTCCACCAGTGGAATATCAGGCATTGGTGGTTCCTCTAACAATGCCAGCCATAGGAGCTTAGAAACCTCTGCAGGTTCGTATGGGCAGAGACAGGTAGAGAAGAGCGCCCTGTAAATCTTCATGGAAGTTCGGTGCAAGTAGGTGCCCCGGTGGAAAGTGAGAAAGGTAGCAGCCTGCTGTTAAATTGTGTGTGTAGAAAGAATTTTTATGGGTCGTTGTTTGGAGAGCAGCTGTGGCTGTGGCTCAGCTGTGGCTGAGCAGCTGGACAGGAGCTCCGCGCCTGCTTATTTAAAAGATTAGTTGGGGAAAGAAGTCTCCTCTTTGCACAAGAGTTTGACAGACCCCCTTTCACGCTTCGGACTCTGCGCAACGCAGCTTCGTGCCTTTCTTGAGCATAAACTGCGGCTGAGCTCTTCTAGCCGGAGAGGAGTGGCATATCGATAGAGCCCTTTCTTGGCATGCAGACTGTCCACGGTTCGGTCCCTGGCAGCTCCCGTTAAAACCCTCTCGGGCAGCTGGGGCTTGGAAGGCGCTCTCCCTGCCTGAAGCTTGGCAGAGCCCCCACCAGTCTCAGAAGCCGATACTGGCTAGATGAACCAGCCCTAGGAAGTCAGCTTCATACTTCCTGATTGGCTTGATTTTTCTGCCTCTTTCACCCACAGAAAACCCATAATATGCTAGGCTTCTGAGTGGCCTGTCACTCGGTCCCTTATGTGAAGCGTAAGTTGAAGGCAGGCAGCCACTGATACCAGTACACATGAGTTCTAGGCTTGGTATAGGCGGATGTCCTTGCTAGGCTATCGAAGGTGTTAAGTAGCACCAAAGCAGAGACAGGCTCGTTCTCCATTAGCCCTCTTAGCCCTGAGGGAGCCCTGCAGCAGAGTGTGTGGTGGGCAGAGGGAGGGTCGGGCCCTGCGCAGTTGACTTGCAGAGGGTGATGGGCTTTCATCTCTTTGATGAACCGTGGGAGAGAATCACCCTTCCCAACCTCGCTGGGAGTGGAGATTGTGTGAGTGATGGCTGACGGCTCTCAAGCAAAGCCACAAGCTTGGGCTTTGGGTTCAACTCCCTGCACGATCACTTGCTTGGGTGGCTTTGGGAAAACGGTTTTCCGTGCGCAGGCCCTGCCTCAGCGTTCTGCCTGTAAAATAAGCCATGTTGGTCGGTGCGTGATCCTGAAGCGCTTTGTACTGTTGCAGCGTTAGCTGAGTGGGAATGATGATCTGAGAAAGGGCTCTGTCAACCACCCTTAGCTGTGCACCGGTATCTCTGTGCTGTGCGCGCAGACCTTGCCGTGAGATCTGGACAGGTGTGCAGATGGCACCGTTGCCAGTAGTCAGGGTCCAGAATGTGCAGCAGGCTTGCCGGCCTTTCCTGCGGCAGGCGGGAGCTGACCTGGAACCCGCCGGGGGGTGCTTTGTGGCCAGGCTCCGGCCGCTGACGGGCTCTGCTGCTGCTTGTTGCAGTTCCGACCAGTGGGACCAATGGTGTTAGCATCCCTTCCAATCCTGTGGCAGCCACGTCTGAGCCCATGAGTAACACAACGCCGAAATCTCCTGAGTCGGAGGAAAAGGTGAGTCTAGGACATGATTTTGAGGAACCCGCGGAAGGGGGGGTGTTTCTTATGTTTCTGCAGTTTGACAGCTCTGATTGGTTTGCACTGTGAAGACTTCTTTATTTAAGAATGCAGTAAAAACGAACAGGAGTCTTGTGGCACCTTAAAGGCTAGCTGAGTTCCAAGTTCTGTTGTTAAAACTAATTCTTAATTGCTGCAAAGTGACCAGTGAAAGCGAGAGGGAACCCCTGGAAGTCAATGAGATCCTCCTCTCTCCTTAGGACAATACCTGTCAGAAAACTGAGCCTCCCCATGCTGCTGAGGCCGAGAAATGCAAAGCGGCTGAGCAGAACGCCCAGCAGTCGTTTGTTTTTGGGCAAAACCTAAGAGACCGAGTGAAGGTACCTGTCCCGCTGCTTGTGGTGAGCTGGTGGCGCTGGGCTTGGCTTGGTTTGGGCTTCATGCTTGCATGGCTGTGTCCTTCCGAGAATCTTGTGCGGAGTCATCTGCGTTCAGTAATCACATCAGATATGTCCGGCACAACCTCAATTGTGTCCCGATAAAATCCAGACTCCTCAGTATCCTTAAGCAATTGAAATAGCAGCAATTCAAATGCTTTTTTTTAAAAAAGCATAATTTATTTAGCTGCCTTTACTGTTTTCCATTGTTCCATCATCATTGTTTCTGCTCAGCTGAGGGCTGCTGGCAACTCCTCTGGCCCTCTCCAGCACAGCTTTTGCAACCCTGAGGACTAGGGACTTGCTGGCTGCCTCGGGTAAAGCAATCCTGTGTCCAGCATTGCCTTTCCTCTGCTTCTGCGGAACTGCAGCTGCTACATAAGAGCTTGAGGTGGCAGGCATGGTCATTGCCCCCTCTATTTATCCTCACAACAATCCTGTGTGGTGTAGGGTTAAGCTGACAGAGGGTGCCAGAGGATTTGCTGCCAGAGGATGTAGTGATGGCCACAGGAATAAACAGCTAATGGGATTAGATAGATTAATGGAGGCTTAAGTGTATCATTGGCTACTAGCCACGGCAGATGAGGGGAAACTCCATGTTCAAAGGCACAAAACCTCTGAATCCCAGAGCCAGAGGTCTCCGTTGTTGGCCCTCCAGAGGAACTGGTTGGCCAGTGTGTGAGACAGGAGGCTGGACTAGGTGGACCCTCACTGGTCTTATCCAGCAGGGCTCTTCCTGTGTTCTTATGAAGGCCTCGGCCTCTCTGCCCTGTGGTTGGCCCTCCAGAGGAACTGGTTGGCCAGTGTGTGAGACAGGAGGCTGGACTAGGTGGACCCTCACTGGTCTTATCCAGCAGGGCTCTTCCTGTGTTCTTATGAAGGCCTCGGCCTCTCTGCCCTGTGGTTGGCCCTCCAGAGGAACTGGTTGGCCAGTGTGTGAGACAGGAGGCTGGACTAGGTGGACCCTCACTGGTCTTATCCAGCAGGGCTCTTCCTGTGTTCTTATGAAGGCCTCGGCCTCTCTGCCCTGTGGTTGGCCCTCCAGAGGAACTGGTTGGCCAGTGTGTGAGATGGGATGCTGGACTGGGTGGACCCCTGGTCTGACCCAGCAGGGATCGTGTTCTTACAACAGGTGGGGACTGGCCCAAGATCACCCTGTGAGTTCCATGGCTGAGTGGGGTTTGAACCTGGGTGCTTGGAATCAGTATTGGTGGTGACAAAAGGAGGTTCCCTTGTCCGTCTCTGGTGTCACCACATTCAGGAAGTTCTGGTTTGGGGGGAGCAGGGGCTGGGAAGGACCTCTCTGTGCCCGAATCTCCACAAAGCCGTTGCTAATCACAAGAGACCAGGTATGCCATCGCCTAACTTGGCGGGAATCTGTTTTGTGCCTTCTTGAACCCTGTGGATCTTATTGCAGTTAGGAGATGAAGGGGACGACTCTGCCGACCTACCAAATGCCCGGCTCCCAAGCTCCGAGATGCTTCCGGCCACCAACTACTTCCTACAGTACATCAGCTCCAGGTGGGAGAGAGCACTCGTAACGCCCCTCTCTTTGGCTGCTCCTGTGGGCGCCGCAGTGCCGTGTTGCCGCAGCCGGGGTTGTGGTTCATGGATCCCCTGGTCGGGAAAGAGCTTTCTTCTCTCTCTCTCTCTCCAGCACGGAAAACTCGACACACGGTGCCGATGCCTCCAGCACCAAGTTTGTGTTTGGGCAGAACATGAGCGAGCGGGTTTTGGTGAGCATTACTTTGTTCCTTCACCTTCTCCTGGATCACGAAAGTAGTAGGTAGCCACTTTGGTCCATAATTGACTCTCCAAACAGAAGCTGGGTGACAGCTTCTTCCAGAAGTGTACTTAGAAATGTATTCTGTTGAATTGCTGTTCCCTGCTTTATGTCCCCACTAACCTGGGGAAGCAGTGAGCAGCTAAATAGGATCCCCCGTTGATTCCTCCTGAATCTTGACTTCATAGAGATAGAGGTATATAGATATAGGGTTCATGATTTTACACACTTTCCAGCCTTGTGATGCCAACGGCCCCCCATTGGCGAACAGTGAGCTATGGTAAGTAGATGGCAAGTGAGTGGCCTGGTAGTTGGGATAGCACTGTGTCTTTGCGTATGAGTGGTGAACTCTGAGTTTGCAGCTCAAATCATGCCTCTGCCCTGTGACTTTCAAAAGCTTTAGCCCTTTAGTTGCAGTACAGGGAAGACTCTACCGGGCTGTTACAAGAACTGTCACACAGTAAGACGGTAGACCCACAAGAACTTCCCTTGCTCAGTCTTCCCGCCTGCCATCTTGCTTCTCCTCACGCTTGCTGCCTTCAGCTCCTGACTTTCCTCTCCACCCATGCTGGCCCCAGCCCCCACTGATCCCATGGTCTCTCCATTCGCACCTGCGTCTTCCACTTCAATTTGTGCCATGGTGAGGTGCCATTTTGGATTGCCCTTTGACGTTCTTTCTTTTCTAAAAAATGATGACTTTGGATCAGGGGAGTTAATCTTTTTGTATTTTTCTGCTATCCTGTGATTCCTCTCTGGTTTACAGAAACATATCTCTTAGCCTCGTGTAGCCCCCTTATGCAAATTTCTAATCCATTTACTGTTTTCTGGTGTGTATATTGTGGTCCACAAGGGGGAAGATGCTGGGGGGGATGCTAAATAGGGAACTGAGTGCCCCTCTGTGTAGTTGGTACTACCTACCACCTTTTTCTCTTGTCCTCTGTGGCAAAGCAACCCCACTGATCCGCAAGTACTGTTCTGTCTTGCCCTCCAAGGTGTATAGGCACCAGCGGCCATCCGAGGTCTCCACCTGGCATGTGCCACCCACCAGTCTTTCTTGACTCTTGGAGGGGCTTCTCTCCCGCTTTCTCAGACCATTCACTGCCACCACCTGGCCTCTGTAGGGATTACATCCTGAGACGACCAGGGTTCCCAGCTTCCCTTCCCTGCATTGCTGTTCTGAAGCCTTGCCTTGTGCTTGCATCGCCTGCACCCCAGTGCCTGGTTACCACAAGGACAGCTTGCTGCACACCACTGGGGGATTAGCTGCTTGCCAGTTGGCCCCCCCCCCCCCCAGATGCTCATTTTAAAGTAGTGTGTTTGAATGGTGGAGGTCTCGGTGGTATACAGAGAACAGCTACCAGCATTAAAAGTTATAAGACGTTTATTTAAAAGAAAATGTCTACACAGGTGCTGGCAGCACGGCAACAGATTGATCAAGGGATCCAAGAGCAAAGTTTAAACACACAATTCCTTTGTCCCTCACTCTGTACGTGCCCTAGCTGATGTTATTCTAAGGGCAGGCTCCTTAGCTTTGAAGTTATCGTGTTTTAAAAGCTTCCTGTTACCTTGGTATCTGTGTTGAGGCCTGCAGCCCACTTTATGGCAGTGGCTGCCTTCAGCAGGCACTCCTTCCTCCCTGAATCAGCCAAAAA